ATATGCAAAATATCAAATTTTTTCATTAAGTGTTAAGATTTGTAAAGCAATGTTTTTTTAATGTCTTTTTCTTTTCGCATGTTGACTATCTATCATGCAGTGATATTCATTCTAAGATTAAAAATATTTTTATGCATCAGAAACTTTTTATTTTATCTGTTATTTTCAGTAATTAATCTCTGTACAGGTTCGGTAGATTTGACCAATGAGCAACCACCATAAAAAATTGGGAAATAAATATAAATCATTTCATTCTATAATGAACAAAAATTATAACACGAAAACATAAATCTTTAGACTAAATAGCTTAAATCTCATAACATTATACATTTATATATATTTATTATATTGACCTTTCAGCCATGCCTCATTAACAATACAGAAGTTACAATGATGCAGCTCATGTGCACTCATGTTACTGTACCAAAAAACATAAAACTGATGTTTGATCTGTAAAAAGTAACTTGTCTTAGCTTTGTTTTAGTAGACTAGTATTTTGTAAAATACAGACACATTTCAATTATTATACATTATATGTGTACAGATTATTGCTATTTTGAAATAAGTTCTTAAACTTATTTTTCTTTAATCTTGGAACAGTAAATAAAGAAGTAAAGCAAACAATTATCTCTTCTAGTTACGACCTTTGTACTCAGTTGCTGCTTGACAAAGGTTGCTAAGCCTTTAAAAATTTTGCACGTGGAGGATACAAAACAATATTTTTTTAGCTTTTATATATACATTTGAATAACTAAAAAATCGTAAATTATTATATTAATATCACAGAATTCCAATATAATTTATAAAGCTTAGTAACTAAGATGTATTTTAGTCTAAAAAAATATGAAATTTCAAGCAGACCAAAGACACACCCTACTTCATTGAAATATTGGTTCAAAAGAAAGAAATGGCACCAAGCCCATTAAAATGGCTGAGAGAGCCACTAGGGAGAAATTCTGAGCTACTGATTGGTTATTCATGTCATATATATAGAAGTAAGTGTATATAAGGGAGCATTTCCAAAAAGGGAAAGAGATGGGCAGGATGCAACTGTGTTTGATTTATTACATGAGCAATATCTTAGCAAATTGAAAAGATGAGGCTCTTAATCTATATTCTAGCTTGTCAATATCGGTAATTTGAGTTTCTAATTTGTACAAAACTATAGACTTAGTATTTTGACTTCACAAACATCTAATCTGAACCGGTGCTGCATTCAACATATCACATGACACACAAAAATCGATGTTTAACCGTGTTTTTTTAATATTTGCTTTTATATTAAGAAATTGAGTAATATATAGTATTAAAATT